TTTCGACCCCCCCCCCCCTCTCATCAGCGCCTGGGGCAACCGCTCCGTTCGCTCATCCGACGTCTTGGCAAGACGGCAAGTTTTGTACTGGATCTCATTAGAGCTCAAAATTTTGGAACTTTTTGGCGTTGTCTTGGAAAAAAAGTGGACTCATTCCTATTTTGCCACCTTTTCACATAGTTTGGGTCACGTTTTTAGGGTTTTTTCTCTCTTTCTCTTGATTCTAAGGGAAATGGTCGAAAAAATCACATTTTAAGGGCGGAGCTAGTAAACAGCTATTTCACAGGATTGAGCCAAGCTTTGAAACTTTTGACAAATGCATGTTTTCTAGAAGTAAATTTTACGCTCTTTTTAAATACAGTTTGACAGCTTTTTCTCAGATAATCGTGGCTGGAGGTATGAACCAAAGTTTCTCCAAAACTCAGCAACAATGCGCCTTTTTTAAGCTAATTTTTGACGAAAACGTTAATTTAACGACCAAAAAATTAAGCTATGAAAGGAAAGGGAGGGTGATTTCGGTAGAAAATTTTATGTCCTTTCTGATGTTTTTTCTTTGTGATTTTCGTAAGATTAACCGTTGAGGAGATATTTCAAAAAAACTGATCGTGGGTTTTCCCAATTTTGAAAAGTTCAAAATGGCGGCGCCCTGAGCACCAGCCAATTTTCCTGAAGTTATTGTGGGCATGTTCGGACTTCTATATCACCCAGGTATCGAAAAGATTGGTTTGGTTCGAAGGACAGAATCCATGTTGAGCGGTGTTATATTTCTTATTTTGAAAATCGCCTCAATAATAGTGTTAGCAAGAGCACCAATTTCACCCCTATTGAGATCTTCAGTGGCTCTCCTCCCTCGAATTTCCTTCAGAGCTGTCTTTCCTTTCCGCCTACTACCCAACTTAGTGCCCAGGAGAAAATTACACTGGTCCAAGAAAACCTAGCCAAGAATGCCCTTTAAGAGAGCCAAAAAATCAAACCTAACTCAATTTTCCACTCTAAACAAGGAGACAAGGTCTTAGTTAAATCACACCACCTATCAAATGCACTGTATGGAAGGGTAAATAATTTGCCTTAAAAGAGACAGCGCGCGCGCGCATTTTTCGATTGTTGTGAAAACTCCTCTTTTTTTACCAATTTTTGATCTGGTTTAGCTTTTTTTTATAAGAACTAGGCTAAGATAGTATCATAACACGAATGAAATCACAAAAAAAGGGAAAATACCGGGTGTTTCAGACCACCCGTTCACTATCTTTTTCTCGAAAACGGCGGAAAATTGGGCTTCGGTACCAAAACTTTCATAAGGCAAATCCACCCCAAAGAATAGAATGCAAATACCTTCAGCCCCCCCAAAATGGCCCCTTGGGGGTTTAGGGGGGGGGGTGCTCCCAAATTTCGCGCGATTTTCAAATGGGAAGGGTATGTTTTGACTGGATTTGGAATCTACGGCAAAAAATAAGTACATTTAAATCTTTGAAATTTTTCCCCAAGCCCCCATTTTTTGGAGTCATGGGGCATTTTCGGGACAATTTTCAATTCGATGCTGTAAGCGGCCAAATTATTCAAATTTCAAAATCTAAAAGTCTCCTGAGAGGAGAGGTTAATACCTTTTTATTGATGTGCCATATGACCCCTGCTGCTCCAAACTTTTTGGAGCTACGACGCGACCACCCCCCCCCCCCAAGAAATTTTGGGGCTTTGGAGGACCATAGATAAGTCGAAAATTTCGAATGGCAAGGGTATGTTTTGACCTCTGATATGGATTCTATGCGAAAAGTTACGTAGAATTGATATGGCGCACGGCCTGTTTGCTCCAAATTACTGAAGAGCCTCATTTGCCCGTAAGAAGCCGTGTGTTCTTGGAGAAAATAAGGGACAAAAAAATTTGAAGCAAACAGGCCATGCGCCATTTCAATTCTACGTACCTTTTTGCGTAGAATCCAAAACTGAAATCAAAACATACCCTTGCTATTTGAAATTTTCAACTTACGGCCCTCCAAGGCCCCAAAATTTTGGGGGGATCGTGGCCCCAAAAATTTTGGAGCAGCAGGGGTCATATGGCACATCAATAAAAAAGGTATTAACCTCTCCTCTCAGGAGACTTCTAGATTTTGAAATTTGAATAATTTGGCCGCTTACAGCATCGAGTTTTGGTCCCGAAGCCCAATTTTCCGCAGTTTTCGAGAAAAAGATAGTGGACGAGTGGTCGGAAATACCCGGTATGTTGGGGGAAAAAAATTGGCGAAATATAAACGCCTTCTTAAGCGATACGTGCATTGATAAAAGCAAATGATTTTTCAAAGTGTTTCATTTACTCATAGTAGTGTTGGTTTTAAAAAATAAATCCCATCATGGTATTGCTGCTATGCTAAGGAAGAGAGCACTGAACAGATTCTTTTAAAAAATAATCCAACCTGCAGTCTTCGTTCTGCATACTATTAAGAACTATTCTTAAGAAACTGAGAAATGTATATATATATTTTTTTAAAGAGCCTATTGTCCAGGAATCTCTTGTTTCATTAGACGCGACCGGTCGCACGAAGCTCCCCCATTATTATGGCTGATCTGTAGGAGGAGCCACCGAACACTTCCGAGTAGTTCCGATTCGTTCAGAATGCCGATGAAGAGGATGAGTTGACGGAAAATTCAAAATACAACGAAGGAATTGCAATTTCAATTTTAATTCTTTCATTTTTATTTGTTTATTTATTAATTTTTTTTCCCCCTCGATACTTGAAAAAATTTCAGACTTTTTGGGCAAATTCCCTGACTTTTCCAGGTTTTCCAGACCATTTTTTCCCGTGAATTTTCCAGGTTTTCCAGATCGCTGGAAACCCTCGAGTTGTGGTGGCCGGCTGACCACAAAGCCATCAAACTTCATCTTTTCTTCTGTTCTCAGCTCATGGGTTGTACCACCGTCCATGCGATGGCCTACGACCCCACGCGTCCCCCATTTTCCCCCTTTTTGTTTGTTGAGAGTCTCGTCACGGCTCTGTTTTTCAGCTACCTACCACCCTGGATACAACACATAGGAATCGATATCTCACTCGGTGTTGTTTCATGGTACCTGATGATTTATTCATACCTGCGGCGGCAATTATGGCCGCCTTTTTGAATGAGGGGACATGGGGATTGGAGGTGTGTGCCGGGAAATTCTGAATTTCATTAACGTTGCTTCCCTCTTCCTGGACATCTAAATCACGTATACCTAAAAAAGAATTCACTCTACTATCGGCATGTTTCAGACGAGCAGTTGTACTAAACTTTGAGAGAATTGATGAAAAGCAGTGGGAAACTTGCTTTTAGGTATGAGAAAATCTCAAATTACAATATCTGGAATATAGGATGAGCCATGATTTTGATTTTTCACGATTTTAAGTCCACACGTACCACGCATTTACCCCCTGCAAATCGTTTTTGGGTACATTTCGTCGAATTTTTTTGTTCTTTACTTCAAGATCACTGTGACCTACGTCGGGCCAATCCGCCATTTTTTTTTCTTTTTTAAATTCAAAATAAGGGGGGAGATGCACTGAAGTAGGTATCTGATTTTTTTTGTACTCAGTCAAAGTTCCAAAGGTTCTTAATATTGAGAGAGGTTTATCCATCAAATAGGGGATTAGGAAAAATCATGAGGCAAAAAAGTGGCGGATTGACCCCAACCTACCCTACGTTTAAAGTCTTTATTTATTTCCAAAAATTGAGGAGGAATCTACTTCTCTGATGACGTCTTCGAGGCCCTCTCTTAAAGCTGAGTGGATTTTCTTGCGAGGATTTATACTCGAGTCAGAGTACAAGGAACGAGCCAAAAAATCCCACATTAGAACATCACTTGTTTCCGTCGGCTTGAACTTATTCAATCCGGGTGTCATCCCTGAAACAACCGTAATTTAATAAATAGATTTACAGAAAAACTTTAATAAAATCCTAGAGATCCTAGAATCTCGGGTTCAAAGGTTTCGTTAAGCATACTGGGGTAGTAGTAGAGTAAGTAATAGAACTAAAATATCCCTTTGAAAACTGTTTAACTTAACACAGTTAATCTGATCATTTTATTTTGAGGGTAGCAATCACAATGAACTTTATCATAGAAAAATTGAAACTTTTCCGAACTTGAGACAGTAGCAAATTTTTTTAGAGAATATTTTGAATTATGTATACGAAGGTCATCCGTTATAGAAGGTGGCCTATATCAAGACCTTCGAACAGAAATTGATAATTCAAATCAGTGAAAAGTACGTATCATTCATGCTCCCAATTACAGTTTAGTTGAAGTCTAAGTTATTGAGGATCAGTGAAAGGGCTCATGAGAAAACTTAATTTACCTCATATACACACAAAAAACGGTCCTACTAAAACGCAAAATAAATACACAGGGTGATTCAGAGCACCCGTGCCGGGCTTTCCTAGGTTATTTTGGGTCGGGTAAAGTCAGATACTGGCGGAATCGGAAAGGGAATCACCTCCGAGGAATCCAAATTTCATGGTCCTAAAACCGTCACGGCCCCCATCGGAAATGTTAAAGGCGGGTACCTATTCACTTTACGAATTGGAAATCCCTTCATATATTGAAATTATTCCATATCAAATTTAGAAAGTAGAGGAAAATTCACCTCAAAAAGAATACCAATTAATCCAAAATTGAACAAACCCTGCTCAAAATATTGACCCTTAAAGGTAGAGAACAGGGTCCTCCTCCCTAAAATTAAATATCGCTAAACAGACGTAGTGGTCCAGGAAAAAGATTTTTTCGTAAGTATTCGACCATCAGAGATCCGAATTTGACAGCCCAAAATCCTCCGAGCATTTATCATGTGATAGGTACAGACGGTCCGAAATTTTCTGAATTTTCCAAGTTTAAGGGCTTTCTGTATGTACCTAGCACGTCAGTATCTCGCCAGACAGAGTCAGGAGATTTGGGCCTACGTCTGGCTGCTTTAAGGCGAAAACCGCAGGGAATTGGCGTCGTCATTTTTTGAAGTCATAACATTCAAATATGCGTAACTTTCGCAAAAGAGCGATTACAGCGCTCGTATTTACACCCAAAAACGCAGAAAATTACGCTCTATCAACTTAGGACGAAGAAATTGTAATTTGAGTCCACTTTTGCCACGTTCGGGCCATTTTTTTTTAATTTTCATAATTATTAAAAATCACGTTACCGCCTGAGAGAGTGTTTGCAGTTGGTGAGGATTGAATAAAAACCTCTCGAAGTTATTGTTCGTTTGGTACCGCATCCATTGATATGTTATACTTTCATGAGAGGTTTAGGGAATCCGAGTTACAGCGATTTAAAAATCCGGCAACACACCCTACACCCGATTTTTACGCTCGTTCATGTACGTTTCGTGACTTCGTGTTGAAGCAAAATGCCTAAACCGAACGAAATTCGATAAGTCAGTTCATGTTTTGCGCTTTTTTGAAAGTTTCACATGATTTTTAGGAATTCAAGTAGCGACAGTGTTGCCGGTTTTCAATGAAAACCACCGCTGCAATCTTAATTTAAAGTAATACTCGGTACTGCTACTGGTGGTACAACGGTAGTGGTGCCCGACAATAACGAGACATCGAAATTGAAAGCTATACCGAATCACCCAAGCGGTCTGATGAGTAGTTTTGGCAAGGGTCCTAGATCCATTGATCTTGATCTCGGTACAATATCGACAACTCGTTATTGTCGGGCACCACTACCGTTGCAGTGAGATAGAAGAAACTATAGACTCGATAAATCGACAATTCCAACTACAGCGTCTACTACGCAGCGGTGGTTTTCATTGAAAACCGGTAACACCGCCGCTACTTGAATTCCTAAAAATCATGTGAAACTTTCAAAAAAGCGCAAAACATGAACTGACTTATCGAATTTCGTTCGGTTTAGGCATTTTGCTTCAACACGAAGTCACGAAACGTACATGAACGAGCGTAAAAATCGGGTGTCGGGTGTGTTGCCGGATTTTTAAATCGCTGTAACTCGGATTCCCTAAACCTCTCATGAAAGTATAACATATCAATGGATGCGGTACCAAACGAACAATAATTTCGACAGGTTTTTATTCAATCCTCACCAACTGTAAACACTCTTTCAAGCGGTAACGTGATTTTTAATAATTATGAATATTAAAAAAATGGCCCGAACGTGGCAACAGAGGATGCAAATTGAAATTTCTTCATCATAGGTTGATAGAACGTAATTTTCTGCGTTTTTTGATAAGTACGAGCGCTGTAATTGTTTTTTTGCGAAAATTAGGCATATTTGAATGATATAACTTCAAAAAATGACGACGCAAATTCCCTGCGGTTTTCGCATCAAAGCAGTCAGATGTAGGCCAAAAATGACCTACACAATCATCCCACAAAGTTTCATACAATCCCCGCCAGATCACTTTTTGGCCGTTTTGCATAACCCTCTTTCACCTGGGAATGACATGTTATCACATGCGCTCCCACGGGAACGACATGTGATTACATGCGCTCTCAGGGAATAGCATGTGATCGTATGCGCTCCCAGGGGAATGACACGACATCACATGTGCTCCCAAGGAAATGACACGACATCACATGTGCTCCCTTGAGGAATGGACAGGGGAGCCCGCGAGCTCCCCTGGGAGCTACGTGTGACGTGACCAGTGCGCTCCCCTGGGAGCCGACATGTGACCCGTGTGCTCCCATGAGAGTGTACAGGTGACCCAAAGCTACCAAAGTAGCAGAACACTAATGTTGGTTTTGAGAACTGCCCAAAATATTGTTAGACTTCTCTTCTTTTGTGGTATATGTGGACTTATTTTCCTTTTCCTCTGCTTTGCCCAATATATATAACGTAGGGCGTACTTAGTACTTAGATGGGAGACAGCTTGGGAATGACCGCGGTGCGGAAGTTTGCATAATGGCTGAGAATTCCTTTCATGTCTGAAACATGCCACGGCATAAAATATTTTTAAATGATGCGGAGGCGTGGGATTTTTCAGGGATTTATTATCCGAAGATAAAATGCTAACTGGGTATTATTTTCCCTGCTTTTCCCCGATAATTTTTTTAACAGCCCCCCCTCCCCCCGCGGGGATGATATATGTCTGGTTCCGCCGATGAATGGAGGCAGCCGTGACTAATGAGTTATTCAGGATTGTAATCGATTCACACGCTAGTAAGGATATCTATAGGTGCTTTGTACTGTGCTTGATTCGAGGCAAATGAGATGTGAACGAACAATAAATATGTAACATATCAAGGTGTACCAAAATGTTGAGGAAGTTCGTGTGCATACAGGCTCTCATATTCAAGCTCGAATAATGTCATATTTTTCCCAAGGTGTATCTTGCTGGCAGTTTCAGCGCTGTAGTGCAGAGCAATCGCCATATTCACGATATCGCGATTAAGTATCACTGTTTTTTGTTGGAGAGCGTGGATTTTGAGGCTCTGAAACAGAAAAGACAGACGTACTGGGGTCATAAAAACCTTAAAAAATTTCATAGTCGCAAACGTTATTGTTTTAACAATCGGGTATTTTTGAGACCCCCCCCTCCCCTAACAGCTCCGCAGCCAAACCCCCGCAAGTTATAAGTGTGCGGGATAGCCACGTATGCTCGCAAGCTAGCGTGAATTAAACGTACGCTAGGATAATATTTAATTAAAGGACTTGAAAAAATGGAAAGGACAGAAAAAGGAAAGTGGAGAGTTTAAGAGTGAATGAGCTAAGTTTGTGCACAAAAATCCAGAGGAAAAAACATACAAGTTGCTAATGCTGAAAAAGAAAACAAATATAAATTATGCATTGATTGGTAGCGTACTGAGCTACGAGTCATACAATTTGACAATTTTCAAGTCCACTTTTGACTTGCTCTCTTTCACTGCTCCGTTGGACTGGTGAGGAAAATTGTAAGAGTTGGTAATCCAAAGCGTAATCCAAAGAGTGTACACCGACTTTTCATTCTTCAAGCGAGCAAGGAGCCTTCGCTACTGAGCCAAAACTGCGTCTTCTTAATGAATCGCAGTGACCTCCCCACTCAGCATAGAACCTTATTACAATCTTAGTATAATATTGCACATCTTACACATCAACATTGCAGCCATATTATATCCATCTCAGTAAGAATGAGGTAAGATTGCATCAATGTTGATCCCAAGTAGCATTTTGCAACGAAAAAATTGCAATTTAAATGAAATAAAATTTCCAGATGATTTCAACTTTCTTGCAAGAAAATTGCAATTATTTTACAACATCTGACCCCCTCATTGTAAAAAAGTTGCAATTTTTTTTTGCAAAGAAATTTCAATATTGACGACCTTTAAATTTCAACCCCTAAATTTTCCGGGGAAATTATAATAATTCGAACCCATGCTTACCTAATGTCCTACGACGTTTAGCAGCATAAAATACCGGACGCCATTGAGTGGGCTTGAACCCGACCCGCGAATGCCATAGCGGAGCACTCTTCCACTGAGCTACAGGGAGCTGATGATGAGTAGGGTTGAAATCACGCCTGTTAAGGCTGTTATCGCATGCATTGCGTCAGTGCGTGGCTCAACATTCATCATAGATTTGATTAACGCCGTTTTTCTCAGGCTTCTTTCATTGCCTATTATTTATTTTTTTTTCGTGTTATTTATTTTTTTCATATTTTTTTTGTCTGATTTTTTTTTCGATATCACGTAATAGGTACTCACACTAAATTTACACCGGTGTAAATTACACCACATACTAACTTGAGAACTTAAAAATATTTTCAAAAAATATTTTTAAAATATTTTCAAAACTTTCTTAAGGAATATTTTTAATATGCATGTTTACAGGCAATATTTTTGAATTATTTTAAAAATATTTTTTGTAAACATTTTCAAAATATTCCTTTAAAATGTTTTAAAAATATTTTGAAAATATCTTAATTACAATATTGCCATGAAAATATTTTGATAAAGGTGACAATATTTTCAAAATATGTTGGGCTATATGGGTTAGGTGAGACATTTAAGTCGAAAAAACTTTAAAACAACTAGAGAATTGGATGCCAGGCACATGGCGTGAATTTGTTACAACATGATTGCACCGAAATTGCAGTCTTTATATAGTGCCTTGAAAAAGAAGGTTAGGCAACAAGCATAATCTACATTTCTTGCAAACTTATTGCAATAAAATTGCAACTTTTTAAGCGCCTTCAAATGAACGTATAGGCAACAAGCAAAAATTGCAATCAACTCACAATCCATTGCAATGAAATTGCAATCCATGCTACTTGGGATGTGCTACTGCCAGGGACTTGCCTGAACATTGCAACAACATTGATAGTAAGGTTGAAGTAACATTACAATAATCTTACATAATATTGATATGCCCCTGTCAACATTGTTATCAGGTTGACACTTCTTGACTTCTCCTTGATTGCCGGTCTATCAAGGTTACATCAATGTTGATATTGTCAGTCTTATCCTGACAATACTGATTTAACATTTCATCCATATTAGTGACATTACATCAACATATGTCAGCAAATAACAACATTGCTTTAAGATATCATGCTGAGTGGGTTGGTCCTAGATTTGAGCTGCCTGGAGTGATCACAGTCTTCGTTCTTCGAGCGGGCAAGGAGCCTCCGCTACTAAGCCGGAACTGCGCCTTCTTGATTACTTGCAGAGGCCTTGATCCTTGACTAAAGCTGGGCACAATTCTTCATTCTTCATACAGATCCAAATCCGATGTCCAAAGTGAGAGAGTGAGTCCAGTCCAAGGGTGTTCCAGGGGAGATCCTTCCAGTCTGACCAGTGCAGAGAGTATGTGCAGTATGTGGGAGTATGACCAGTGCATTAGGGCGGGATATTCCCTCCATTTTGGCCTCAACTTGAGAGCTTTCTTTGAGCTTGGGAGTTAATTTCAGAGAAAACCAGTGGCCACATCGTGTTTCTCGCGAACTTTTACGCAGGAATCAACAGTCAAATCGCAAATTCCTCACACATGCAACATCTCCATTAGCCTTTAATTTTTAAAAATTTAATAAAATTGAGGCAAATATTTCAAGAATCTGGCAACATTGTATGATTGCAGACCAGGTATGGTGCTGCGTGAAAGGGAGGTGCTGATAGAGAGACAGNGGGGGGGGGGGGGGGGGGGGTGCGTTAAACTTTAACCGTCCACGACTCGCTCATCAGAGGAGGGTAAAACTCGAAAAATGAACAATTAAGGATAATTTCGAATTAATTTGGCAACGTCGGATGCTTTCAGGATGCGTGAGGGGGGACGGCGTAAAGAGAAACGTCGACTCCTTTCAAGGGGAATGGCAGAAGGGTAAGACGCAAAAATCACCCATCGGTATGAATTTTGGATGGGTTTGGAAACGTCAGATAAATTAAAAATTGGGATCTGGTGCTTGGTAGGAGACGTTTGGGGGGGGGGGGAGAGGAAGGAAACGGAACGAAACAAACGGACATCATTTGACCTCACCCAAATGCTCAGTAAGTATTCCGCATAATTTGAATTTCCCGCCGCTTTCTATCACCACTCATCAGTATGTTAAAAAAAAAAAAACATCAGCTTCATCATATGAATATGAAAATAAAAAGATCAAACAAAATTGGTTCAACTATATTTTCCCTTAGATTCTTTCATAAAAATCTGGAGCTTTGCTAAAAAAAGAAGACATTTGCGTTAAAAAACTGCGAGGAAATATTAACATTTCACCCCATTATAAAAAAAAAAGTTGAATAGATCGTTTTCGATATATCAAATAGGTGAGATTGTATCGATGTGTTCAACATGTAAACATAGCCTCAAAACTCAATCGAGTAATCTGAGGAAACGGGGTTTTTCTGATAGATTTTTTATTCTCATGAGTACTAAATAGCATCGCAAGGTGAAATAGTTGGACATTTTCTCATTTTCAGCTTTTCCGACTGAAATCCTGAAAGTTTTCTTTGAGGTTATGTTCCATTGTTTTGAACCAAACGATACATCGAACCTTTATCGAAAACGATCTATATAAAAGTTTGACTTTTGTCCGTGATATCATGCTATACAAAGGGGACCATCTTTTATGAGGGTCAACATTTTTGAGGGGGGGGGGTAGGCGAGGCCGGGGGCCCCCCAACTTTTTTTTCAAATAGTAACCCCTCCCTATCTTGTGATAGATCATTAGAAATAACATAAAATGCTGAGAATTTTGGCGCAAACCGCAGATCAATATCTCAATTTTTGACCGAGTTCTGATAGGTCAAAGGTCAAATTCGACATATTTTCATAAAATCATAACTCCGGTTCAAATTGTCGTAGAGAAAAAAATAAAACGGGAAAGTGTAGCAAATTGTAAACACTTTTAAGTAAAAAGCAGAAAAATCACCTCAAACTAATATTAAGGGGGGGGACCCCCAAATATGTCAGTTCAAAGGTCATACGATGTTCCTACAAAATGAGTGAATTTCCCCTAACTTTGCCTCAACATCACCACAGAAAATTCAAAATTAGTTCAACGTTGCGTTTTCAAGGCCTTAAATCTCGGGAAAAGTTTAAAAAAAAACGAAATCTAAGGTGATTAAATTTGATCATTTGATTTTTATTTTTTTCCATTTTAATCCACGTCGCGTCTTTTATTGGTATAAATAAAAAAGTGGAACCAGACTTGACAGGAATCCGGGCTGAAGGTCTTCAGGGAGGCAGGAGTTGGCAGGGTTGGTAAAAGATCAGCAATGAGAACTCGTAATTCTGATACATGGCTTATTTTTTACTCGGACCTCAGATCGCGGTCAATGTTTCACAGTCGCATCTTCGTGCGCAAATGTCATGTCAAGAATTCATATCGAATTCGTCAAGAATGGATTTTTAGTTTTGGATAACTACAACATTCTCTGCGCGATGATAGTAGAATTCTCATCTTCGTTTCAAAGTTGTATCTTCATGCGCAAATATCATGTCTAAAATTCGTAAGATAATGGGTCGTCTACAAACGCAAGATCTTCATACCTGCACAATATATGATCTACTTGCATCCCTAAATACTGCAATTTAAGTCTTACATATTTATTCCATTCGCATAATCCGAAAAAATGGCTCAAATTATCCTGGGCCAACTCGGATTTTTCTGATGATATGTGACAATGCCGCGCCGCGAAGGGAGTCTCTTTCGATAGACACGTTTAATGAAGAAAATAATAATGGATGAAAATATGTATATCATCACTAGTAATCTGACCGTATACAGTATGAAAAATCGGGGATTTTGAACTTTGCTGAATGAGCTAAACGAAGAACAGTCTCCAAATCCCACCTATAATAGTTACCGGATCTATGTCGTCAATTCTTTCGTTCACGATAACTATCGTTAGATTTACGTTAGCCTATTCAAATTTTGTAATTTTGTCCATTTTGGTCTTAAAAAGAACTGTATAGATTTTTGGTCAAATCGCAATTACCGTTTACTTACAAACGGTAATTA